GAAAATCCTCACCCGAGGATATTTTTCCATTTATATTCAGACCCAGTGAGAGGGAGGGAGGCGGGGGGAGAGAGAGAGAAACATGGAAGTGAGACACATTGACTGATTGCCTCCCACACAACCCCAACCAGGGCCGGGGACCGAACCGAAACCGAGGTATGTGCCCTTGACCAGAATCAAACCCGAGACTCTTTGGTCCTCGGGCCAATGCTCTAACCACATCGAGCCAAACCAGCCAGGGCTACCTTCTTTTTAAAAAAGCTTACACAAGCACTATTTAGGAAGTACCAAACAGTGTATTTTATTGTCTTCTGCATTAGAGCATTGTGTGTCTCAGAGGCCTGTGGAAGTAAATTTAGTTCCCTGTTGATAAACATTGGCACTTGAGCCTCTGTGTATTTCTCTGTGCATTTTCTTGCCACCACAAGTATAGTTATGGCCCAGCAGTTACAGCAGCATTTAGCTTTAGAGCAAAGAGGAAGTTCTCTGCCCAAGTAGGTCGATATTTCAGATACGTAGACTCCCTTCAGGTCCTTCTGGTAAAACTAAGTTCAGAGACTTGGCATAGCAATTCATACATTATCTAAAGCTCTTTCTTCCTTTCTCTCTTTTTCTTTTCCTTCCTTCCTTCTTTCCTTTTTTTAAACTATGAAAACTGCTGAAATGAATGGGTTGGTTAGGGATGAGTAGAGAAGTTTGGAATGTCTTTAATCCTGTGCTCAATGTTGTTGGTAATATTAGAAGAGCAGCAGAGCCATGAATCCAGTTATGCTCTTGGCTAAAGCAGCCTACCCTGACTTAAGCGCTCCTCAAATGAAAAAAGACCCAGGGCTTTACTTGACAGTAAATGCAACCTGAGCCAGTGATGTGACCTGACTGCCAAAACAAGCAAATGTGATCTGAACCAGCATTAAGAGAAGGCTGGTGGCTGGGACAAGTAAGGTAATAGTCCCAGAGTACATTCTGCAGTGGTCAGATCACACCTGGAAGATGGTGTTTCCTCCTGGGCACTGCATTTTAAGAGTGACATGGACAAGTTGGAGAATGCCCAAGTTGGGCAACAGGATGATGAATGGCCTAGAAACTACATCCTTTGAGGAATAGTTGGAGAAACTGAAGTAGTTTACCCTGGAAACTAGAAGGCATGAGGGTGTGGGATAACCATTTTCAAATATTCGCAGGGCTATCATATTGAAGAGTTGGACTCCTCTGTGTAATCTCAGCAAGTACAACTTAGACCAGTAGTGTACAAGACAAAGTGGCTGATCTTGTCTCCATAAAAGGAAGAATTTTCTAGCCCTTATGAACATCCAGAAAATAGCAGCTTTGTAAGGTAGTGACTTTACTTAATAAAGGGTATTAAGACAGCAGCTGACTGACGAAACATCAGAAGATTCATGAATAGAATGGGAAGTTTGGAGAGATTGCCTAATCCATGATCCTTTTACATTCAATGATTCCACTGACAGAACCTTAAGAAGGAAAAAAAGCATTAGTACGTTTTCTCTTAGATCCCATACAAGTATTAACCACAGAAATTATGTTAAAGTTGATGCTAAGAGCAAATATCAGTTATGAAGGTAGAAGGTAAAAAGAAGGTAAAAAGTCAGGAACTTTTCTGTTTTCCCTGATAGTATGAATTTCATTTTAGTAGTGTTTGCTTGTTTGTTTTTTTCCACAGCAAACTGAATAATTTTTTTCACTTTAAAAAACATATTTTTTTTTTTTTTTTTTTTTTTATCCTCACCCAAGGACATTTTTTTGTTCAGGTAGAGTGGGAGGGAGAGAGAGGAAGAGAGAGAGAGAGAGAGAAACATCGATGTGAAAGGGACACATCGAGTGGCTGCCACCCGCACGACCAACCAGGGCCGGGGACAAACTGCAACCAAGGTACATGCCCTTAGCGGGAACCGAACCCAGGTCTCTCTGGACTGCAGGCTGATGCTCTAACCGCTGAGCCAAACCGGCCAGGGCAAAACATATGTTTTTTTACTGATTTTTGAGAGAGAGAGAGGAAGGGAGAGATAGAAACATCAATGTGAGAGAGAAACATCTCATCAATTGGCTGCTTTCTGCATGCCCCCTATTGGGGATCAAGCCTGCAACCTGGGCATGTGCCCTGACCAGGAATCAAACCAGGACCTCCCAGTCCATGGGACAGTGCTCAAACCACTGAGCTACCCCAGCTCAGCATTTTTTTTTTCACTCTTTTTTTTCCTTTATTGATTTTAGAGAGAGATGAAGTGAAAAGGAGAGAGAGATAAAATCATTCATAAGAGAGAACATCGATTGGCCACCTCCTGCATGTCCCCCACTGGGGATCGGGCCTACAACCTGGGCCTACAACCAGGAATTGAACCAGCAACCTCTTGATACATGGGTCAATGCTCAATCACTGAGCCACTCCGGCCCAGACAATTTTTTTCACTCTAAAGATCCTTTAGAGCTCTGCTATGCTTTCTCATCAAACGTATGCTCCTCTTAATATGCTGTTTGCAGGGTACTACATTTTGGTAAGATTACTTTTTTAAAAAAGACTTTTTATTGATTTTTAGAGAGAGAAGAAGGGACTGGGAGAGAGCAACATCAATGTGAGAGTAGAACATCGATTGACTGCCTCCTGCATGCCCCCTACTGGGGATGGAGTAGGTAAACCAGGCATGTACCCTGACCAGGGATGGAACCAGCAACCTTTTGGTGCATGCGATGATGCCCAACTGAGCCACAGCAACCAGGGCATAAGATTACTCTTAATCCAAAATTGTAAAGTAGCATTTTGGGGAACAGCAATCTGTGTTCACATGTGAAACAACCAGCCCTGTGGAACAGCTGGTGTTTAAAGTTCATTAATCATTAATAATGAGGTCGCATCCAGTAAAATGTGTGCATTGGGATAGTTTGGCCCTTCCTACAATAGGTGAAGTAAGAAGAATGGGAATGATCATTCCTTTTTTTTTACCAATGCAGAAACTGAGTCTTGGAGTAGCTTACCTACCGTGATCATGAGTGGAGCAGGTCCTAGAATCCAAAACTTCTGACTTCTATTCCAATACTCTTTCTAATACTGTTTTTAATACTAAAGGCTACTATTCTTTCCTAATAGTGAGTTTATTGACTTACATAAGTACAAAATATAGTTTTTCTTTCTTTATTAAAAATGTTTTTATTAATTTTTTAGAGAGAGGGAGATAGAAACATTGATTGGCTGCCTCCTGCACACCCCCTACTGGGGACTGAGCCCACAACCCAGGTATGTGCCCTGACCAGGAATCAAACCCAGATCTCTCAGTCCATGGGACAACACTCAATCCACTGAGCCACACTAGCGAGGCTAGTTTTTCTTTCTTAACTACAGTGATTCTCTGGAGTAGGAGAGCAGACTGGTTTGGCCAAAGAGTAGGCCTTTAACTTCAATGTTGTCCCTAGTTCATCTTATGTCCTAAAGAAAGTCTATGTCAAACATTACCATTGATGTCTGAGGATACTTGACCCTCTTCTTGAAAACAGGGATGCTAACAGTTACTTCAAATAAAAACCCTAAGGATGTGGACAAAACAATGTTTGTTAAATGGGGTAGATTTGACTGGGTACTGCAGCAAAATGATTAGCAGCTCAGGCTGTCAGAGATCTGGGTTTAAATTTTTGTTCTGGTCCGGCCAGTGTGGCTCAGTGGTTGAGCGTTGACCCATGAACCAAGAGGTCACCAGTTTGATTCCTGGTCAGGACACGTGCCCAGGTTGTGGGCCCAATCGCCAGTGGGGAGCATGCAGGAGGCAGCCAGTCGATGTTTTCTCTCATTGATGTTTCTATCTCTCTCTCCCTCTCACTTCCTCTTTCTCTCAAATCAATAAAGGAAAAATTAAAAAAAAATTTTTTTTTGTTCTGCTACCTACTGGCTGCAACACCACTGTCATCTCTTGAAGCCTCAAGATCCATATCTGCAAATTGGGAATAATAATATGACTTCCCTTTTTTGGCTGTTGGGAGGAATAGATATAATAATGTGTGTAAAAGCACCATGCTATTTTTAAAAAAAAATACATTTATTGTGGATTAACATCCGTTGTTTTTTTACCCATTTTTCTATAGGGGTATTATTGTGTGTTTCCTATTTACTTTCACTGTGTGGTTTATATTCAGCATAGTAGGTGCAGAGTATAAATCCTAGTCAATAATATCAGGCTGGACCAATAATCAAAAACAATTCAACTGAGCAAGTGAAGTGCCTCCTGGGTCCCCAGCTCAGTACTAGTCTCTGAAAATACAAAGCTGCCTGAGACTAGGCCCCTGCTAAGAGAGGTTGCATAGGTTGCTGTGGAGGCCAATCTGCTGTTCCAGAAAGGTCTGGAGGTATGTGAATGTCTTGGGACTCACAGGTAAGCAAACCAAGAAAGGTGGGAAGGGCCTTAGTGGAGAGGAAAAAGCTGAATGAAGGCACAGAACTCTTAAATCATCAGACTGTTTGAGTTAACTGTAAGCTGGCATCACAGTTATAACACTCTTTAGGCTAGTCATGTAACCTTTTCAAACCTCAGTTCCTTATCTGTAAAAAGAAATAAATAATGAGTTCAACCTACTAGCCATGACGTGAATATTCCGTGTATTTGTAAAGTACTTGCTTGGCACATCAACTGGCACAGAGTAAGGGTTCAATGTTTGTCACCATTACCATTGTTTTAATTTAATCTAATAATACCCAATAATACCCAGTCATTCCAAGCATAATACACTCCTTGGTCGCGAAGGAGGGTGCCAGAATTCATAAACCAACGTTTCAGTCTTGAACAGCTTTAAGACTAGGCGGCCAGCGCCTGATTCACAATCCTAGTCAAGCGCCAGCGTGACGTCCCCACGTCTGCGTGGTGGCAGGGGCGGACCTGCAGCTGAGCTGCGATCCCAGGGTCACGTGGGTTCCGGCCTCGCCCCGGCAGAGCCCGTCCCCCACGGCTGCGGTAGCGGCCGCTGCGCCTGCGCACAGCCGAGCGCGCTCTGCGGCTCGGTCCGCGGTGGAAGCGGCGCGAACAGTAAGGGGCCAGCGGATGGCTCTGCGGGGCCTGGCAGGCTCGGAGCCCAGCTCCCGCGGGCCGTTGGAGGAAGCGGTGGAGGCGGCGGAGGAGCGCGAGGCACCGGTCCCGGTGGCGGCGGCAGTGGCACCGGAGGACGATGAAGAGGACGACGGCCGCGGCCTGCTGCGTTGGGATGGCTTTTCGGCCTGGCTGCACTGCGTGTGTGTGGTGGGCTTCGACCTGGAGCTGGGCCAAGCCGTGGAGGTGAGGCCCGGCCGCAGCGTTGTCCCTCTGCCCTGTCCGGGTCCGCGCCTGGGAGGTCCCAGCAGAGTGTGTGGCTCGCGGCCGGCCGGTGCGCATCCGGGCGTGGCTGGCCGCCCCTCCTCCCAGCGAACCGGGCTGCGGTCCATTGGCAGTTCCCGTGGGAGGATCTTGGGCTGCGGCTAGGGGTGAAAAGTTCTCTCAAGGCCCCTCCTAAATACTTGCTGATTTTTTTTTTAACTCGGTGTCACCGGAATAACAAATGGTTAGCGGTACCCGGAGGAGGCTGCACGCAGGATGTTTGGGACTTTTTCAAGAAGCAAACAATGCCCCTGACATATGGTGAAATATAATAGACAAACCTCTCACAAAGTTTTGCTTAGACTCAGAGATTGTTTTGGTCATTCACAATAGGAACTAAGAGCATTTCAATGAGCCTGAGTAGAAATGCTTATCTCAGCATGCATTTTCTCCTTTTCCTTCTCTTGTTCCTCATTTCTGTTAATTCTTGATGTTGCTTCTGAAACAGTTGGCCTGAAAGCTAATATGAAGATGAACGTAGGGAAAATCTTTTGCTTGTAAATCTGTCAAGTTTTCCATTTTTATGGCACCTTATTGAAAGACCTTTGAATCATATCTGTTCTTGACATTGTTTAAGGTACTTTTTGTAGCATAAGAGATTTGTTGTCTTTATGTGGCCAAGAAAAATGTTATCAGAAGGATATGTTTCAAAGATTTTTTTTTTTTTGTAGTGATGACATTTTAGTGAACCATCACTCTCTGACTTCAGTGGCATGAGTTGGGCTAGGAAAATTGACCAGGAAGGATTTTCTTAATATGAAGATACTACTTTTGTATTCAGCCTGTCTTCTCTGTTTTATGCAGCTCCATACACTGTTTCCACAAAGATCTAGGCATTATACTGCTTGCTGGACATACAGATGTGAATGATATGCTCTAAGTTATATTTGAAGATTGAAATTACAATTTAAGGGAGAATCAAGAATTAATCACAGTAGCAGATAGGTCCAAATGCAGTGCCTGGCACATAGTGGTATTCAATAAATACTTACTGATAGAATGAATGAGCATAGGAACAATTCTTTATATTATTGGGATAGAAACAAATGGTTCCCAGAGAATTTGAAGAAGAGATTTGTAAACCATCTATCCATTACATTGACACGTTAATCTGAAGTTATATGTATAGCAAAATACAATTCAATCAGAAAGCAATGGATTGGGTTGTTGTAGTTGATTGTATTTTTACATAGCTAAAGGAGAACTTTTTGGACTCTTATCATTTGGAGCATTCTTTTTTTTTAAATATGTTTTTATTGATTTTTTTTAGAGAGAGAGGAAGGGAGAATGAGATAGAAACATCAATGTGAGAGAGAAACATTGATCAGCTGCCTCCTGCATGCCCCCTACTGGGAATCAAGCCTGAAACCCCAGGCGTGTGCCCTAACTAGGAATCCAACGGGGACCTCTCTATCCATGGGATGATGCTCAGTCCACTGAGCCACACTGGCCGGGCAGGACATTCTTTTTAACATGAATATGTTTTTTTCTGGCCAAATAAACAATACTTAGCGTAATTGAGGTGCTACAAAAATGTGGATTGTTAAAGGTCTTATTTTGAATTTTATTCTTCATAGTATGTGCTACTGCACAGAGTTTTCTTTAGGTCAGTCATTCAAAATTTTTTTTGCATCCTCAGACTTAAAAAAAATATATGATGAACTTCATGAACTCTCTCCATTAGGAACATGCTTACTAATACAGAATTATGTATTCGCTTCCATGTACTATCTGGGGGTTATCTATGTCCCTAGATTAAGAATCACTGATTTTAGAAGGTGAGAGTGGGGAAGATTTCCTAAATGAAGGATTCAAAGATAGATTACACATTGAGATGCAACACAATTTTGTTTTGTTTTCCTGAGCAATGTAGAACATTGCTTTTTTGCCACTTTAAAAATAAAGAGGAACACAAATTAGAAATTAATATAACAAAATAGTTGAAAAATAGATAGTATTTTACCGTTATATTATCCATATCCAGGCCAAAAATAGGATGAGTGGCTGTTAGGGGACAAGAAGGTGATTCTAGAATTGTGTTGGAGAAGTGACATAGTAACCCAGCCCTACTTCCTATAAAGCACAACCATGGGGACTCAAAAGGGGAATTAATTAAAGAATAGGTAAAAACTAAGTTTGGACAATAACATTCTAGAGCCCACCTGTGCTATCAAAAAGGCAGTCCTTGCCCTGGCCAATTTGGCTCAGAGGTTAGAGCATTGGCCTGCAGACCAGAGAGACCTGGGTTTGGTTCCTGCTAAGGGCACATACCGTGGTTGCAGTTTGTCCTTGGCCCTGGTTGGGGTCGTGTGGGTAGCAGCCAGTAGATTTGTCTCTCTCACATTGATGTTTCTCTCTCTTCCTCCCACTCTATCTGAAGATAAATGCAAAGGTATCCTTGGGTGAGGATTAAAAAAAAAAAAGGCGGTAGTTAAATTTTAGGCTTGAAAGAGATTTAAGAGTCCGTTCTGCCATGACATAAAATACCATTTGCAGATTTTAAACAAATGCATAAACAGTGCCACTTATTTAAGTTTAAATCCCTACTAAAGTGACAGTACAGAATTTTGATCAGGAACTCAGACTCTAGAGCTGGACTGCCTAGGTTTTAATTTATGTGAGTTTAGGTACATTACTTTGCTTGTCTGAGCCTCATGCTCCTCTGTAACAGGGTAACGGTATATGTGTCATGGCATTATTGTGAGAATTAGATAAGTTAATGTTTGTAAAGCATTTGGAACAGTGCCTGGGACCCAGTAAGGCCTATGTAAGTCTGTATCTGGGAAGCACTGAGCTTCCCTTTTTCATTTTCCATGGGGAGAACACCTAACTTCTACTGTGTGAAGATGAGGCCTTTGGACTTCAGTTTTCCCACTCATAAAATGTAGTTGAGTTACTAGAATCAGTACTTTTTTTTTTAAGTAGGGGAATGTTTTTCCTCTGTGTAAATAAAAATCTAACGCGATACCTCAATGGCTAATCTGGTTGAAATGGGGCTGTATGTGTACAAGCAGCAGAAACTAAGCTACAGCTCAAGCAGAAAAAGGGAACTTTGTTGTAAGGCCACCAAGGTGTTTCAAGATATCCAAAATACAAACCTAGTGGGGCTGCAGAAAATGGCTCGAGCCCAGAACCAGGAACACCATAGTTTATGCTCTTGTTCTGTGGATTTTCATGCTTCGTGCTGCCTGCAAACAGACTTCCTCTGCTTCTGGGATATTTATGGTGGTGAAGTTGCCCCTTTCAGCCACTTCAGTGGAGAGTGAATGTCATTCTCATTCCAAACACTAGAGGAAGAAGGTACTCAGGCCTGGTTTGGGGCAGATTATCACTCTGATACAACCAGCTGAAGACCTGGGTGCTTGGGGGAATTTGTCCATGTTGCACAAAATGTTTGGGGGCTTGGGGGTTGTCCTGAGTGAAGGAGACAGTTGGGGGGAGGGTGTCTTTTGAGCTAGAAGAGCCTGCAAGAGGTATGGACTGACTGTAGGAGGTGTGCTTAGCTTTTTTCCTCCTGAAGTGGCTCTGAAGCATCATCAGAGAATCCAAGTATCCTATGGAACAGGTTTGAAATTCTCTGGATTTTATATACTCTCTGTTATACTTCTAGAAACGCCTTAATTATCTGAATATGGAATTGCCTCATTCTCCCCCCCACAATTGAGTAATACTTTACTCATTGTTGAAAACTTGGCAAGAAAGAAAATTATAAACACTAGAAAACATTACTTATAAGTACACTAAGAAACAATTGCTATTAATATTTGGCATTTTTGCTAACGATTTTTTTTTCTTTACATAATTTTGTATCTTTCAAGGATTAATTTGACTGTTAGGAACAGAAACTCTCTCAAATTTAAGCAAAAAGAGATTGATTGGGAGGAGTCTCTTGGAACACAGTTACAGGAAACAGGAATGAACCTCATGGAATTTGGAAAGCCCCAGGCTTTTCAGTTTGTTTCTGGAGCTGTGTGATCTTTTGTCTGCTTCTCTTTGCATGTCTTGTTCCATTCTCCATGCTGAGGGTGGTTTCCTCTGCAAGTGTCTCAATTTAAGCTTCCCTGTTTTACTTAACTTTGGGTTACCCTGGTACTGATTTTAGCCACTCTATTTTTGTATTCTGGAATCAGACTGAAGTGTAATTCAAATACTGTATCCAATTGGCTCAGCATGGGTCAGGTTCTCTAATTTGTTCAGTTAGCTGTGGTCAGGAGATAGGGTCTCAGTAACAGTAGTGGTTACTTAGGCTCAACCTTGCAGAAGGAGGAAAGGGACACTTCCAAAGCATAGGCTGGGCAGCATACTTCCAAACAGGACTACTGTAGGACTCTGCTTTTATTGGTAAATGTCCTCATAAACAATTTGCCAGATCATTAAGGAGTCTTCATATCCCGGCTGGTGTGGCTCAGTGGTTGAGCATTGACCCATGCACCAAGAGGTTGCTGGTTCAATTCTCGGTCAGGGTACATGCCCCAGTTTGTGGGCCATACCCCCAGTGGGGGGCATGCAGGAGGCGGCCAATCGATGTTCTCCCTCATTGATGTTTCTGTCTCTCCCTCTCACTTCCTCTCTCTCTAAAATCAATAAAGAGAAAAAAAAGGAAAACAATATCCCGAGCATGTTTTTGGAGGTACTAAGTGAGGTAATGCATGTAAGAATTAATGCTTGTCATTTCATGCATGTTCAATATGTTAGTCCCTTTTTTAGTTAGTGGCCTTGCTCATTCAGCAATCACTGTAGGACTAGTCTTGGCTATTTTCTTACTCTTGCCTTACCTTAAATTGATTTTTTTAAAAAAAAAAATATAGCTTTGGCCCTGGCCGGTTTGGCTCAATGGTTAGAGCGTCGGCCTGCGGTCCAGAGAGACCCGGGTTCGGTTCCCGCTAAGGGCATGTACCTTGGTTGCAATTTGTCCCCGGCCC